TCATAATTCGATGATGTCATGGGCCGGCTATAGCAGCTTGGGGGCGGGGCTTAGCTGAAGCCAGGGAGTGTCGGGGTGAGACCGGGGCCTGTGGCTGGTCCCCTAACTTTTAGTCTCCGGCTCTTTCCTCTCTGCTTCTGGTTCCCCCGAGGTAAGCAGCTTTCCTCTGCATGCCCTTCCACCACACTGTTTGTGACAGAGCCCTAAAAGCATATATTCATGCGCCACTGGCCACGTTTAGACAAGTTTTGATTTAGCTTTATGTGAAACGCCCGTCCAAATCTCTTGCCTATTTCTTTCTACTGAACTGTCCTTCTATTCTTGAGTCTCAAGAATTCTTAAGGTAGTCTGGATATCAGTTTTGTGCCTGACCTATGTGTTACGGATATAGTCTTCCAGTTATGACCTGGCCATCTTATTTTTAACTGCATTTATCAAAAAGTAGTTATAGTTCTTTGGATGAAATGTTATTAATTTTTATTCTTCCTCTGTGTTTCTTCTTCTAGAAGATCTTTGCCTAGGTCAGTAGCATGATGCTTTTTGTCTACTTTTTTAGAAATGTTATTATTTGAAAGTTTTACATGTAAGGGTACAATCTATATCAAATTAATTTTTATGTATGATGTAAAAAAACTTGAGGTTATTTTTATGTACACAAAGAACTGATTTTTCCAGGAGCATCTGCTGAAAAGACCATTCTATTTTTCTCGGTTTACTTTAGTTCTTCTGCTAAAAATTAATTCACGAAATATTTACAGGTCATTTAAAAATTCTGTTGTCCCATTGAGCCACACACCAGTGATGCACTGTCTTGATTTGAAGACTTTCATAATTTTAAAAATCAGATATTGTTAAGCTCTCCAACTTGTATTTTTCCAACTTTATTGTGCATCTTACACTTCTGTGCATACATCGCACTGTGGAAGTCACAGCAACTGTGCACTCACCTGGTTTCCTCTGGCTCAGCCTTTCACTAACACTGTTCTTAAGTACCGTGTGTAGGTTTTGACCACAAAGAATTTTCCTACTTGACAAATACTTAATTGATCGGATGCTCCCGTCTATTCTTCCAACTGATTTGTTTTATATAATAGAAGATGCTTCCTTTCCTATGCTAGTATAGCAAGGTAACTCATAACCACAATTATTCATGATTATTAAAACACTTCAGAATGCCATTTTTTATCATGAGAGAAATACTACCATGGGTAAACACTGCTTAATGACTAATTTGTTTTGGTGTTGTTTTTTGTTTGTTTGTTTGTTTGTTTTTGAGACAGGGTCTCACTATGTAGTTGAGACTGACCTGGAACTCACTATGTAGCCCAGGTTGGTCTCGAACTCACAGCAATCCTCCTGCCTCAGCCTCCCAATTGCTGGGATTACAGGCATGCGCCACCATGCCCAGCATGACTAATTTTTTTTTTTAATTCCAGGAAGACACAAATTCTATTGATATATCCATGCAACTAAAAACACTATGACTTATATTTATATAAAGAACAGCACAATTTAAGTCCCTAAAAGATACAATCTGCTAGATATTTCTAGACTATACAACAGTGCTGAGTTAAAAAGAAATATTAGAATGCTCAAGAGTTCTATCATTCTAGAAAATTTTATTAGTTTAGATGTACCACCAAGTAGGCATTTATTATAATGACAGGGTCAAACAGATGTAAGAATATGCCTCAAGATTTAAAGTATATTACAGAGAGATGAAATAGAAATTCAAGACAGTGTCCTCACATGCCCAGCAGAAATTCTTGGCTTCCATTTTGGAAAGGAAATAGAGTAAAATAGGTGTTAACTATATAGTGCTATACTCATAGTAACAATCATTGGCACTTTCTTATCTAACTCTTCATACTTCAGAGTTCCCAGTGAGATAGGTTTTAACTATGAATTACTGTATATTGTAAATCCAATACATTTGAAACTGTACCTAGCATTGGGGCTGACAAATTCAGCTTTGACATACAAAATGATGGCTACGTTTGCTTCGGTTACAGATTAGAATGGCAGTTGCATGACGATGGCTAGGTAGGAAGAATGAGTCCAGTAGTTTAACTGACCTGCAGCAAAATGCCTTCTTCAGAGTCCACAGACCCAGGCATCATTCCACCCAGAAACAGGAACCCTCCTGTCATGGTTCAGAACAATATGTCTCCCCTGAGCCGTGTGTGCTGGGGGTTAGGAGGCGGGACCTGGGTGGAAGAGGAGGACCCTGTGGGAATGACCTGGTTATTTATGTCTCCCTTTCTAGCTCTTCTTTTTACACTTTCTGTATTCTGTCCACTATGCCTTGTTACCATGAAGTCCCGCCTTGGAGTCAGCGACTGTGGACTGAAACGTAAGCCAAAATAAACCTCTACTCCCTTAAATTCTGGGTGTTGGGTATTTGTGACGAAGACGTCCCAAATATGATTTACGAACTTGGTTACAAAATATAGCAAGGTTCACAGGAATTCAAGAACCAGTCCGCGGGACCAGAAGTTACCAATCTGCCAGGAATCGAGGCTACTCTGGCCCTGGAGCTGTACGTTTAGGGGTCTCTACGGTTCTTTGTGCAGATGACTGTCTTCACCTCTGAACCTTCTTCAGTCTGCGCAGCTCAGCAGGGCTGATGCATCATGAAATTCTTGGCAGTTATTTTTAACTCTTTCTAAAATCAGAGCAAAGTAATCATACTGAATATTGGGCTTTACCGTCACATTCTCATACATGCGTCTAACTTGGATCCTATCTCTCCTCGCTGTTCCCTGCCTCAGATAGCTCCCCGTCCTCTCCCCACCCCTTTCCTCTTCCCTAACAGACTCACTTCCACTTTCACGTCATCTTTTCCCCCTGGATTCCACATATGAGATAAAACATGCCACACGAGTCTGGCTTATTTCACGGAACATGATAGCCACTTTCGTCCATTTCCCTGCAGGTGACACGGTTTTGTTCCCCTTTAATACGGTATGCTGTATATACACACCACATTTTCTTTTTCCACTTACCTGCTGACCAAACCCTAGGCTGATTCCAAAGCTGTGAATTGTGCTGCATTGTGCATGGAGCTGTCTCCGTAGTGTGCTGGCTTTAATTTCTTTCTTTCTTTTTACACAGGAGTGGCATAACTGCATCATATGGTAGCTCTGCTTTTAGTTATTTGGGAGCCTCCACACGCGTTTCCATAGTGGCTGCACTTGCATTCCCCCAACAGTGCGGAAGTGTTCCTTTCCCCCACATCTTCGCCGGCATTTATTATATCCTGAGTTCCCGGAGACAGGCATTCTGCCTGGGTGAGCTGGAACCTCACTGCAGTTCTCATCTGCGCTGCCTGATAGCTAAGGATGTGGAGCATGTTTCCCACACACTTTGTGGTCCTTTGTACCTCCTTATTTGAGAAGTGTGTGCTCAGTTCACCTTCCCGTTTTCTGAGTTCTTTAAATGTTCTGGATATTAGTCTTCTGTCAGAAGCGTAGTTGGCAAAGATTTTTCTCCCAGTCTCTTACGGTGTCTTCACTTTGTTAATTGTTTTCATTGCTTTGTAGAAGCTTTTAATTGGATGTGATTCCATTTGTCAATTCTTGTGATAATTACATTAAAAAGTTATTCGGGCTGGGGATTTAGCTCAGTGGTTTGGTGGCCTGCCTCGCAAGCGCAAGGACTGGAGTTCGATCCCCGGTACCACAAAAAAAAAAAAAAAAAAAAAAAAAAAAAAAATTTTAAAAAAAAAAAAAAAAAAAAAAAAAAAAAAAAAAAAAAACTATTCATCCACGCTCGCAGTACGTAATGATTACATTTGTTGTGGGGAGTTCATATATATACATAATACATCTTAATTCTTTTTACATCTCTTTTCATAGCCTCTCCCCCCTCTTTCTGTCTTAGTCCCCTTCCAATTTGCAAAAGATTCTGACCCTCATGCACCAGCCTGCTAAGTGCCAAGTCTCAATTTCCAGGCGGTATTGGCCCCACTTGGGGTTTGTAGCCAAGTCTCCCGGGTTAGGTTTCGGAAGACACAGAGGCATCGCCTTGGGGACTGTGGTCAAGCAGAGGGCACAGGCTAACCCCCAGGATGTGGTACTCAGGCCGTGAGCCCTGCCCCACAGCACGTGTGGAATGCTTGAGTGAGTAATGAACTGGCCTGGCAGGTGAGGAATAAAATAAGAAGATGGAAGATGTAGTTGATGATGCTCTGGAATAAAAGACAACAATAGCACAAATCAGAAGAGAGGGCATTAACTCTATGTGTATTTCGTGTTGACTACAAATGAGTTATTTTGCTTTATTTACTTGCATGCCACAGTGAATGGAGACAGATTATACGGAAAGATGCCATGCAGTTTTGTCACCTTCAGAGCCTTGCTGCTCAGAGGAAGAAGTCTAAACCAGAAGAGCTGAAACAAGATTCTGCAGATGTATTGGTGTTATTTTTTCCCTGCATTTAGGTTTTGTGAGTTTGCAGTTTTTAAAATCACACATTTAATGGCAATTTGTTCATGAATTAAACTGCTTCCTCTGAGCCAGGTGTGGTGTTGCACCCCTGTAATACCAGTGCTCAGGAGGCAGAGGCAGGAAGATAGGCTAGAATTTGAGGCCAGCCCGAACTATGTTATGTAGCAAGACTCTGTCTCAAAAAAAAAAAAAAATTGTCCTCTCCAACGTGTGCTGATGAAATTTTTATTTCTTGATCAATATATTTATTATTTTATTCTGGACAATTGAAAATTATAGACTGTGATAGATTATTTGAGTGGTTTGAGCTCTGAGGATGCTCTTCTGAGTTACTCTATTTTGCTCTGGGGTCAGAGAAGTATAACATGGGTCTACATTTTTAAGAAACTTTCTCAGATTGATCCCACTCTTATCCTGGCTCTCTCAGAGCTTCATGAACTTCCCCGTACACTTCTGTTCTTGTGAGAGTGCACTGAGTAGATAAACTGTTTCTAGTGTTTGGCTGTGCTGTGTTTACAGCGAGCTTCCACACTGAATCCTTTGCTCTCTAGGCTCTGAAGACTGCATGTGCGTCACCAGAATCCCAGGGAGTGCGTCCGGAGGTCCTTCTCCCGAGCTCTGCTCCACATAGCCAGCAAAGCCCAGGCTGCCATTCGCCACATCGCACCTGTGTGCATCTGTCTGCCTCCCATTAGGTAATGTGGACCTTTGACGGGCACACAGGGTCTGCACCGTGAGCCTCAGCCATATCTAGGTGAACCTGCTCACTTCATTCTAGGAACTCGTAAGCAGAGCGCTTCGCAAAAGACTCCTGTTGGTAATCCTGTCTTGTTTGATGCATATTTTATATATTTTTGTCTTAACTATCATGCATTTCAAAAAGAGTTCCACTTTCTCACTGTCTCCTGCATTGCACTCAGGTCTCTGGGTTTAGGCTGTGTTCTTAATTTAGACAAACAATGGCCATGTTAGCAGCTTGCAGAGACCAGCAGCTTCCAGCAGCAATCAGAGGAAAAAGTGTTAGCAGGGCATCACTTAAAAAAATTATGTATCGGTGTTTTATAGTATCTGAGAAATTTAACCAAAATCTCCAGCCAGCAGCTCACAAGTCCCATTGCACTTATTCCTGTGTCCCTGTGACATTCAGTGTCTTTCCTTTAATTGCAAACAGATGTGAAGATTGAAATATCATGGTTGATAAAGTAAGTAATGTGGGAAATAACTCAGAGAATGATAGCTCATTTTCTAAGACAAGACAAAGGTAGAAGAAATCACTCCGAGAAGTCCTCTTTGTTCTGCCTTGGAAATGCTCACCAGTGATATATTTCTTTCTCAGTGTGTCATGCTGACCTTGCTTTAACGCCTTCTCTCTCTGGTCGCTCCTTAGCAAGAGACCAGAAATAGTAAACGACTACCAGGTTCCAGTGGGAAGTGGATGAAGAGTCCACAAAGCTGAACTTCAGAGCATTTTAACAGGTTGAAAAATAGAAGATCACAGAAGCCACCTGGGCCACGGAAGCGGGAGAGGCTCATTCACAAGGTCACCTCGGAGTATCGTCCAGCGAGGGAGCTGTTTCTCCATAGAACCATGCCACAAACAGGATGCTGTGGACAGCAGGACTAGGCGGCCGACTTACAGCTAAACACATAAGTAAAAGGCCTCACAATCAGCAGCTTTCGAAGCCGTGCTTCTGAGAGATTCTTCCTCTGTTCTCCATGCTCCCTCCCCCTGGTTGCCCACCGGGTGTCACATGTGGGTGCCCACTGGAAGCTGAACACCACTCCCCGTGCTGTGCTGTGGGCCATCTCGGTGTCTCAGAGAAGTGGCTTGGCCACAGACACACAGAAAGAGCTCAAGCTGAGACAAGCTGTATTTTTTAATTAAGCTGTGTATTGTTAGTCAAAAACGCATTTTGGAGAATATTTGACAAACATTCTGACTAAAGATGGTGAAACGATGAAAGGCCAAATGTCCACCGTCCTTACTACAAAATGAAATTAACAGCACTAAGTAGTTATACACAAATTTTAAACACAAGAGAGGTAAGACTGAGCTTTAAGTTTTTCCAGGAACCACTAAACAAAGGGCCCAGATGGCGATTACTTACCAAAGTGACAGGTCGGGAAAGGAGGAGGACTTCTGTGCCACTGTGGCTTGCAGTCTCTTACCCAGTCCTCCCAGGCAGAGGAAGAACGGGTGCCGGTGAGGTACAGAAAAGACGCCCAGCAGCCCCAGTATGTGGAGCAGCCAGTACCGCTGTCACTTCCTGTCTTGGAAAGTGATTGGAACAGCAGCTGAGGGGTGTTTGGGGAGCCAGAGAACCTCAACACCCAGGCTGCCTCCAGGGCAGCAGCCTGTCCCAGGCCCCCAGGGGACTCATCCCCTGCCTTCTCTTGCTGGAGTGGATCCTGGCCTGGAAATTCACCCGCAAATGACAGAGTCTGGGAAACACTGTGCTAGACCCCTGGGCTGCGCTGGGAGGGACCAGGGTGGCACTGAAGGGAAGGAGAATGCTTCCCTCCATCCATCTTTAGGAATATCTGAAGCCAGGAGTGACAGCTCTGGGAAGCCTTCTCCCATTTACTTTGGGAATTATTTCTGTTCTCTAATGCTTTTACAGGATTGCCATCTACAGTTCCCAAAGACCTGGTCGCTCAGGGTGCTTAGCAGAGACCCTCCTCTCAGGGTGCTTAGCAGAGCCCCTCCACTCCACAAGCCAGGTGCAGGAGTGGCGGGGGGAGAGTATGTGGCACCTGCAGCCACTTCAGGGCATCAGCTGGAAGGTCTCTTCCCAGGTTCAGGATGTAATCCTTTCCTGGGGCAGGAGGATCCAGCTTTTTGTGGGCAACACCCCAAATTCCTCAAGAGGATGGATCCTGCTAAATCAAATTGGCTGTACTGTTAATTACTGCAAGAGCCTCACAAATCTCATGTGAAGAGATGGGCTTGATGCAGTCTGTCCTTAGCATTTATTTTGTCTCCTTACCAGCTCCTTCTGGGTGGCGCTGGCCAAGCTCAGCCTTGAAAGCACTTTCCCTATCACAGCACTGATCAGCACAATGGGTTTCAAATGATGGTTAGACTTTATGGCCATTTTGCTAATTCTGATAAAAATCCTCCAAATTTTAGGAGCTTATCTCAAAGTTCTGATGTAGGAGGAAGAAGGAAGAGCCCCATGTTCTCATATCCCTCACAGTAAAATGCTACGATGGCCCTTCAAATTCCTAAATAGCAGTCAAATTCCTAAAGATTGCCAAGGAGCACAGGAGAGTCTAATTTTAGGGCTACAGAGCTGGAGCCCACCCTGGAATTCTTTTCACATGTAATGATTAAGGTGCCCTTTTCTTGGGGTTCTGTGGCTGCTAACTAGCTGTGTGGCTGAATGATGCACAACTCAGGCCTCTGGGTGAAGCTCCTTTCCTCTTCCTCTTTTGAAGAAATCTAGAACTCTGAAGACATTTTGCCATTTTTTTTTTTTTTTTTTCTTTTTTTTTTTTTTTTTTTTTTTTTTTTTTTTTTTTAGCCATTGAGGCCCTGGGCCATGGCAAAGAGCTTCCTTCTGGTCACATACATAGAACTAGAACTCTCAGACACCTCTTGTTCTCCTACATTGTGGGGTAAGCACTGAGCCAATGTCTTAAAGCGGGTCTTAGCCACTTTCCTTGTCACTTGGACAAAATGCCTGACACCCTCAACTTAGAGGGAAAGTTTATTTTGGTTCATGGTTACAGGCCCTGGTCAGATGGATCCACGGCAGAAAGGGCATGGCAGTAGGGTCTGGCTTAAAAGAAATCTGCTCACTTCATTGTGGCCAGGAATCCCAGAGTAAAGCAAGCAGCCCAGAGGGAAATATAGATACCCTTCTGGGTCACACTCCCAGTAATGTGCCTCTAATCAGGCCCACCACCTAGTAGAACATTAGTCTACCCAGTTTATCAATGGATAAATCCCCTGATAAGCATAGGGCCCCTTGATCCAGGCACCTTCCACACGCACATGAGAACTTGGTGGTCACTTTAGATGTAATCCATAGCATAGGGCTTGGATGGATATGAACGCAATTTCTCAATGCCCTATCTCCCTGCTTGCTTGCCTGCTTGCTTCCTTCCTTCCATCTTGATTTCCAATTAATAAAATTATCATATTTCAACTATAATTCTTAATATTGGTTGGTTTTTTGTTCTTTGTTATTGTATGTGCCGCCGAAGTAAGCACTTTTTGTTCTGTGTTTAAAAATGGCAATACCATTACCTAGTCAGGATGAGATTCTTGGTAGAAATGGTTAAAATATATCATACTTAAAATGTCCACATGGTCTAGAGAGTTGAATTTGATTGTCCCACCACATTCAATAAAGCTGATCATGGGCCCTGACACCATTTTATTGCCTGTGTGGAATTGGGACTGACCAGATTATATTCTTTTTTTCAGCCCATCAAAAAATGTCAGTTGCAACAGTGCCAAATGTTGACAGCAAGGCCAGTAAAAAGGGCATTGAGATCCTATTGTCCAGAGTTTTAATACAGAAATTTAAAGGGCTCTCCAAAATGTCAGACATAAGGACAACTCTTGTGTGTTAATGACAAGAAGAAAAAAAAAACTATTTCCTCTCAGAAATTGTCTCTGATATCATTAAATTTCTTCTGATAATTCACTTCTCATGTCTGTCACATACAGTCCCTGTCTTCTGCTGGCAGAGGATACAGAAGCTGTTATGTGGCTTATAGACTTTCATGTTTGCAGAAGAAATGTGTCATATTCCTAGAGGGCTCGCTCCTGTTTTGCTACATTTTATAATGATTTGTTAGGCAGATGTTTTAGTCTCTTTCCTTGTTGCTGGGACAAAATACCCAAAAGAGGCTTATTCTGGCTCATGTTTCAGATGTTTCAGTCCTCACATGGAGAAAGGCCAGGGTCAGAAAAGCTGCTCGTGTCAAAGAGGCAGGAAGGGAAACATATACTTCCGGGTCACTTTTCCAGTAACCTTCTTCTTCCTGTCAGACTCCACCTCTTTCAAGTCAGTTAGGGTCTAGTCTTCTTCCAAAAGCCACATCTATGAGTATGTGAGGTTTGGGGGGAACAGTTTGATATAAACCACAACAGCAGAAAGAGAAAAATGTTGGGTAAATTTGATAACACTGAATGTGTTGAATATGAAAAGAATAATAAAGTTCTCAACTGTGAGAAAAATAGATGAGTCCCAAACATTTACTTACATTTGCTACTGGTCAGCAATGCTCTTCAAAGTTCAGCATTATGGGAATGACCAAAGAAAACAGAACAAATTGTACCATCTCTGGAAAGAATTCTGCCATGTGTGAGGCAGGCTTGGGTGAGCTGGGGAAAGTGGTGGACTTGCCCCATCAGGGCTGGCTGAGCACTGCCAGGAAGTAGCATTTCCAACTTTGACCCTGGGCCAGAGGATTTTTTTTTTTTTTTTTGTACCTGGGATTGAACTTGGGTCCTTGTGCTTGCAAGGCAGGCCACCGAACCACTGAGCTAAATCCCCGGCCCCTACCAGAGATATTTTTTGATGGGGGATAGGGCTCAGCTATTAATATACAGTGGATTTTTGACTTACAAATTCAATCATTTCCCGAGGGCTGGTTGTAACTCAGGTTGGATGTAAGTCAATCAGCTGAGATCCGGATGTTTTCCTGGGTATGCATTATAGATAACAAGACATAGATGACTATTCTGTTCACCTGATTAACCTAAGTTGGTCATAACTTAAGGGTCTCCTGTATTTTTAAAAGGTATACATGTACAATCAAGAGTGAGAACCCATTAAGAGAGTAGCTCAAGTGAATCTCGTTCTGTACAGAAATAATTAATCAAGAAAGTGCTAATAATGATCCTGGAAACCTCGCTGAACCCGATTCGGTCAGACGCACACCTGAAACAGCTGCCTTCTCTGATACCAATGAAAAGGGGCTTATGTAGCCAAGGTTTTCAGAAAACATCTCTCAGGTTAGATAATAGATTTCTCAGCACATAAAGCATTAATATCAGGCTCCCTCTCGATGACTTAAACAGAGGCTGCTGTACTGATTTGTGGTGTCGACAGGGGCCGAAGAAGAGTGTGATTGAAATCAAATTGTTCAGAAAATTCCTCCGCTGAGTCCACCTACGAGAAGAGCATTCTTAAGAATAAGGATCCTGTCATTACACCCTGTCCACCCAGACCCACAGGCCCGCGGAGGAGACAACTCTGCCAGGCCTCAGGCCAAGACTACGCCACGAGGACACCCCTCCCAGCAGAGAAGCCCACCTGGCCCACCCGTGGATGCACCGGGCTGCTCGGGTGGCTGGAAAGGGCAGCCCAGGCACAAGAGTGAGGATTTCCAGGCCTGCCAGAGACCTAGGGACAGGGACAGGGTGAGCAGGGCTTTGCAGGAGAAGGGCCTGGGCTCTTTCATACATACATATGAATGATTTTCAGCACTGTCTTCCCAAAGCCTTAAAAGTATCCTAATGCCCATATTCTACCTGGACCTATTAAGTCAGCATCTTTATGAACAAGCATGTGGCATCAGATATTTCTCTAAAACTCTCAAGATTCTAAAGGTTGAGAAAAACTGCTGTACTTTTGGCTCTTAAAGGGTGAATGAAATAAATTGACTATTTCTGTAGTACAATTTGTTAAGTGCATTAAAAAAAAAAAAAAAAAGGTTTTCCTGAGTTCATCCCCTACCTGTATCTTAATTCCACTGCCCTTCCATTTCGCTGTCTCTCCAAATAACTAATCAGGTGCTTTCTCCACAAAAGTCCTTCTTCCCCACCAGCCCTATCACAGCAATATTTTAGGGCAGTGATATCAGAATAAATCTCCCATGCATCCCAGTCAATTTAAATTTATTCTGTAAGTGTGGTGTGGAGAATAAAAGAAGCTTCTCTCCGGGCTTATATTTTATAGATATGCATTTTTATAAACAAGGGTCATGGATATAAATCCACATATTCATTTCCTACCAGAATCACTCCCATCTTGAATAAAATGGATTTCTGCAGTCAAAATTCAGTTAAGGGCCCAGGATGTAGCTCAGTGGTGCAGTGCCTGCCTGACAAGCCTGAGGTCCTGAGTTAGATTCCTGGTACAAAAAAAAAAATAAATAAATTAAGAATATGCAGTGCGTCAGATCTAACCAAATTCAATAGCAGCTACCTCAGAAGTGGAGAGGAGCGTGTTATTATTCAGGGTACTTGGCCTTTTGGTAATAAGCTCAAGTGAACAGGATGACTGCAGCCAAACTATAGTGCAGAGCGATCGATGGACTCATGGAAGGGGAGTGTGTTCCTCCTGATGACTCAGAAAGATGGTACGGAAGTGTGAGAGGGCTCGCCTCTACACCGCAGAAGGTCACAAAGCCGTGTCAGGCTCCACAAAGTAACAGGATGTTGATCCACACAGGGCACAAGTAAGCAGCCCTCCAGGACTTCAGACAAAGGAACTATGATACAGCAATCCATGGAGTCGGGGGCCTGCCTTTCAGTCCACAGAGAAGATTTTGTCAGATAAAAGGAAAGCAAAACACCAGCTGAAGCAACAAGAAAAGAAAAGAAAAAGCAGAGGTGGAGGTCAGAGCCAGTCTGTAGCACTCCCAGCTTCTGACTGCTGTACTGGGAATTTCCTCTTCATTCAGAAGGACCAAGAAAAAGGCAGCAGTCTTTAAACTCCCATTTCTTACAAAAACACATTTTTTTCTCTAGCCGCCTGCCAGCAGCTGGTGATACAAGAGATGTCTGAAATGTGAATCGGTACCAAAGTTTCTGCGTGGGACCCTCCATGGCCTCTGATTTCCAGGTTATGGTCATCTGCCTGCCCGTGCATCCATCCCTCCCTCCCTCCGTCGAATGGGTATGTAATGAAGGAGCATATGCCAACTTCTAGGCAACGCAGTAGGCTCTGGAGAGAACAGTGAATAAGACTAAGCCATTCCCTTTAATGTACAGGGGAAACATATAATGAGAATATGAGAAAATAATTACACAGTATAATATCAAGCTAAGGGCTCCCTAGAAATATGAAGTGGTACGAGGGAATACAGAGAAGGCAGGCACACAGCCACTGGAGACAGAAAGGTTCCACTTACATCAGTGGTGTTAGGATGGGGTGAGCTCTGAAAGGCAGGTGTGGGGCAGAGCATGCAGAGTCTGTGGGCCTTAGTCTGCAATGCTTAGAGGTCAAATGTCAGAAGGTTTGGAGCAAGTGACTCACACAGAGTATTTATGCTTTTAAAAAAACTCTGGAAAAGTCATTTCTGGTAGAGTAATGGGGATTAGATTTACCTTTGCTTGAAACAACTAAAAGCCCAGACAAAATTTATGAGCTCCAATCCTAACCCTACTGTAACTCTCAAAAGATGGGACACCACAGGCAGAAGGATGTCTGTTATGCTTAAGTCTAAAATGGACCCCCAAAGTCTCCCATGTTCAGAGCTGGGGCTTTGGGAAGGTAATTGGATCAGTGGGGTACATACTCATGGGGAGATCAAACCACTGACAAGTTAATAACTAAATGTGCTATCCTCAGGTTGGGCCTGGTTGGAGTAGCTGTCTCATTGGCTTCTTCCTTCTCTGTGTTTCCTGGCTGCCATGAGGTGAGTAGTTTTCCTCCGCCATGCCTTTTTGGTCTGCCTTTTGCCTTGAAATCTAGTTAACCAGGGACTGAAGCCTCTGAAAACCATGAGGTTTCCTTTAAGTGGGGGGTGTTGGGTATTTTGTCTCCACAATAGGAAAGCTGATTAATACGTCAGGAAGACAGTACAGGAATAGAGAGCCTGACAGTTGCCCAGCTGAAGACATGGAGAAAGATTCTGGGTCACAGAAAGAGGGAACTGATGCAGAGTCCAGTGTTCTCATGAGTTGAGGAAAGAGCTGAGGAGATTGGGAAGCCAAAGTAATCAGACATTCCACAGCAGAGCATCAGAAAGGAGAATGCACAGATCTGCAGAGAATCCCCGAATATACAGCAAGTAACAATTAGGGCCTGAGTGTGAGAAACGTACCTGAATCTGTGGGAGAATATTCTGGAAATAATAAAAGAAACAGTAGCCAGAATTTACACAGGGTTGGAATTAGTGCTGGTACACAACAACTAAAGGGAAAACTTCATGAGTTAGAGGGCTGAGAAGAGTTTTATAATGCTTGTGAGGGAAAAATGAACTCAACATTAAGGCTACTGTGATTCTGCTAACAGAACTGGAAAACAAGATCCAATAAGAGCAAACTGAGGACCAAAACAAATCTCAAGAACGTTTATAGGCACACAAAAATATCCTGAGATGCAGCCACTACATCCTCAGCTCTACTCACTGAGCTATGGAATGACTCATGGAATACAGAAATATCCATCACCCAACAAGGCACAGTTTCCAATGTCTGGCATTTGTAGATAATCAAGGGAGGAAGAAAATGTTTAGAAGGTAAATTAATCACTTGGACCTGGCCTCGAACTGTAGTTGCCACCAACTATGGAATATTTAAATTGTCATTATTGTATTTGTGTCCAACAAACTGAAGAAGCTAGAGGTAAGATTGGACAGGTTAAGACATAGAAACTATAAAAATTATCCAAATTTAATGTATAGAGATGAAAACTGTAATGTCTGATTTTAATTGTATAGAATGAACAGATTACACACTGTAGTGGGGAAGATTAAAAAGCATAAATGTATAGCAATATAAACAGCTCCAAATGAGAAGAGAAAGAAAGCTAAATAAGAAAAAGAACAGAGCATAGTGGGTTGTAGGATGATATCAGATGACCAAATCCACACATAATTAGAATCTTCAAAGAAGAAGAGAGAGAAGTGTGTCACATAGAACATGTTTGGAGAAATAATTGAGGAAAAATTTCCAAATTGATGAGATTATAAATCCACAGACCTAAGAAGCTCAATAATCCTCAAACTCAAGAAGAAAAGATGACTTCCTTATAGAGTAACAGAGATAAGAATAAGCAGACCATGCATGAGAAACAATGCCAACTAAAAGAAAAATAGTGCCCTTAAAATACTGAGAGAAAAATAAAAACCCCAAACCCTTTATCAACCTAGAATTCTTTTTTTAAATATCTTTTTTTTTTTTTTTTTTTTTT